GTAATAGATAGAAGTATAAGAAATATAGATTACTTTAGAGAACTGGTAGGAATGAAGGATTTTGATATAATTGGAATAACTGAAACATGGTTAAATGTAGATGATTTTGATCATGGAAATTTCTTTGAAAGACAGGGTTACAGGCTATATAATAGGGATAGAGTACTAAAGAGAGGGGGAGGAGTGGCTTTATATGTAAAATGTGAGTAACGTCCTGTTGAAGTTGAGGATATCAAAGATAATATCAAGGAGATCGAATCCATTTGGGTTTATATTAGTGGATATAAAAGGAAACGGATTGTAGTGGGAATTTGTTATGAATCACCAAATGATATTGATGAAATTAGTGAGAAACTTTACAATGAGATTAACATTTCGGCTGTTAATGAAGTCATAATTATGAGTGATTTTAATTTCAGGCATATAGATTGGAAAATGCCAGAGTCAAACCATGAGGGGGGAGAGGTTTTTAGAAACTGTTCAAGATGGCTTTCTTCACCAATTAGTTAAGGAATCTACTACAAACAATGCTGTTCAAATACAGAAATGATTGAGAAGGTGGAAATTGGAGAACATTTGAGTGAAAGTGATCATTACTATATTAGGTTCAATGTTTTGCTGCATATGGAGATAAGGAGTTATGATATTTTGGTTACAAATTTCAAAAAAGCAAATTTTGAAGGGATGCAACAAGAATTATCTATTGCGAATTGGGCAGCTGAGTTATTTGGAGATGCTGAGCAGATGTGGAAAATTTTTAAAGTTAAATTTTTAAATATTCAAGACAATCATATTCCTTTTAGAAAGAAAGGGGTAGCTGCAAGTAAAAAAACATATTGGTTAACAAAGAGTATAAGCGATAAAATTAAAGAAAGGCATCATCAATTTTAGAAATCCAAATTGACTGTTATGACAGGAGATCTAGAAGATCAAGAAAGTTGGTGAAACAGGAAATTGGGAAATCCAAAAGGATGTATGAGAAAAGGTTGGCTGAAAATGTAAAAATTCACAGTAATGACTTTTTAAAATACATTAAGAGTAAACAAAAATGTTAGGATAGGGTAGGACCCTTGAGGGATAATGAAGGAAGGCTAGTATCTGATGATTATGAGATGGCTGAGTTATTTAATTTTCTTTTTCTTTGGTTTTTTTGAATAAAACTTTAAGCAGTATTCCACATCTTGAACAATTGATAGATGGAAACAAGATCGAACAAGATCACTGCATTAATTCAGACCTGGTTAAAAAAAGATTGGGAAGTATAAAGAAAGATAAGGCTCCTGGGCCAGATAAGGGTTTTTAAGGAGGTTAAAGATTGGATATGTAAAATGGAGGAACAATATATGGTGTGGAGGCTAGAGTGGACAGATGCTCTCACATATAAATGGTGAAAATGGCAAGTGTGATGACATATACCTGAAACTTTAAACATTAAACACCCAAACATAAAACATATGATTGAATATAGATATGAAATCAATTAAATTTGAGCACTTTAGTATGTAACCAGTAAGTTAGTTTTAACATTGATATACATATTTATTTCAGTAATTTTGTTCCTACACTGCTTAATGAGTGAATTTTTCATTCAGGACCGAAAAAATTTCTTCTTTGTTACATCTAGAGATAGCTTTTATTAAAAAAATATCGTTTTTAATGTAATTAATTTTAGAATTGTTCCATTGACAGTAAATTGTTAAGTAAACAGTCTACTTCTGGAGTCTGATGTTCATAACAAACTAATATCAAAAGTGATACTTCATGTATTACAACAGTTATAACATATTAAAAAGGTTTTATTTTTACCGCCCTCCAGTGGCACAGCAGTATGTCTGCAGACTTACAGTGCTAGAAACTGGGTTTTGATACCCATGGTGGGCAGAGCACAGATAACCCATTGTGTAGCTTTGTGCTTAACTTCAAACAAATAAACAAAATATTTTTACTTTTGGAATATATATTGAGATTTTTTTATTTTATTTTATGAATGACATTGTTTAAGTTCCACCTTTTGGTAGTTGACCACTTGTTAAAAGAATATATTCCTGGAACATCTGAGGGTTTATCGTGTAACAAGCAACATTTTTGTACAAAATGTAATGTTGTTGTCACAATTAATGACCTTGTGATAAACAGTTAAGCTGAAGTTGACCAGCAGATATGAGAGTCTAGTAATAACAAAAATGAAGGCAATTTCAAATTAACAGAATTTTCCAAAACTACTTTTTCTCATATTTTAAGCCCATTCCACTTTTTGAGTAACTAAATAAATAAATAACTGAAAAATGTTTTTGGAGAGAAACTCTCACTGTCACTGATGATTTTAATGTATAGTGTTTGCAGATATTAAAAAATAGTTTTTCCATAGGTCTTCTCCATTAATGTATTGCCAGTAGATGATGGAACTCCAATATTAACAGCTAACCTTGGGATTCAGTACTTGGAAATATTTGAAGGAAAGGTAGTTTTATTCATTAGTTTTCTGCTGTACTTTTGTAATACATGATTCCACAATACTTAGATATGTCTGAAAAGAAAATGACTGTGACTAGTTAGTATTTGTGAGAAACAACAACAAGCAAAGTATTTTGATATTTATGATATTGAATACATTATGTAACTTTTACATGGAGAAGATATAACTTTGTTTTTGGACAGCCTATGAATGCTATTACCAAGAGAGATCTACTAACTGAAGATGCTGACACTAGACCAGAGGATCTTTTGTACACAGTGACTCAAGCCCCTATTCATGGTCATCTAGAGCTTGCCAGCAATCCTGGATCTCCAGTCTTAATGTTCTCGCAAAGTTAGTTCATATTTTGTTCTTAATTCAAATCTAAAGATTTCTTATGTACATTTTTAAGGAAAGTTTTATATTTTTTGTTGACTCAGTTTTCCTGTAGAGCATTTAAGATGTATTGTATGTAATAGATATTAATAACAAGGTAGTATCAAAAACATCTTTAATTAGACATTTTGTAAATTTTTCAAATTTCATTGACAGAATTAAAACCTTGAAAGTTAATTCACAGTATTCTGTTCCAAAAAATAACATTTGCTATTAAGTGAGAAGTTTTTTTGATACAACCAAAAGTTTAGAAAGAACACAGATTTAAATGATAACAATATGATGGAAAGTACAATAAAATTTTTGGCAGATGTATCTTTAATACTAGTGCTAAAAGAAATCATTATAAAAAAAAAGGATTAAATGTAAGTATAAACACCTGGATTTTTAGAATAAAATAATAATAATAAAACATATTAATACTATTAATAAAAAATCAAAACACTCAAACTCTGGAAATAATTAAATCAATTAAATGTGTCATGTGTAAGTATTTGTAGGTGATGTGTAGTTTTAGCAATATAGGTAGCTTTACAGCTACCACAAGTGTATTTATAAAGGATTTTTGAACTCAGGATTTTAGTTTCAAACTTTGTTGAGACAGTGTGTGGTAGGGATGATTAAGGGGAGCTGCCATTACTTTGTAATACACTATGATTTTTGGAAAATTCATAGTGAAAACAGAAATAGCAATAATAGATATTATACACCCTTTTTAGGAGACTTAGAACAAGATTACACTTGAATGAGTCTGGTATTAAACTGTTGAAACGAATGTAAAGCCAATAAATATTTTCTTGCAACAAACAGATGTGGAAAAGAGATTGTGCATGTAAAGTTTACAGCATGATGTTACAAGTTTAGGTATTTCTAAAAACATCTTGGCATGATCAATGTTGTCAAAATGTATGAAAATACCATCAACATATCTTCTATAGTACTAGTTTGTAATAGAGGAGACATTTATCCAGTCACTGACAGTCATGATAACAAAGAATGATATTCTCAAGAGTCAAACTTAGGGGATACTTCCATTGCCACCCCATTAAAAGCAATGTGATTGTCCTTGAGGGCTTACCTAAGAAGTTGCTCAAATTTTCATTGATTAAAATTAGAGTGCAGGGCATCTTTGATTGGGAATAAATTTTTAATAATCTAAATAATAGTTTAAAGCTAGCTAACTCCACCTATGTCTTGTTTCTGATTACATAGTGAGAATAACAACCACCCCATCCTTCTTGAAAATTCAAAAACTCCAGAACAACAGGTTATGAACTCTTTATTAAATAAAGCCTTTCCATTTTCAGAGGTTGTCCAACACTAAATTATAAGCTCCAATCGTCCCTGTTGTCTGATTATTTTCAGATTCCCAGTGCTTTTACTTTTAATTATTAGTATTAATCTTTATTATTATTATTTTCACAGATGCAGGTGCTTATACCTATATTTAACACTTTCTTTAAAACATTTTTTGTTAGCAATATTATTAAAGATGTATCTGCCACACATTTTATCATACTTTGTTTTATATTGTGTCTGTTTAAATCTGTGTTCTTTCTAAACTTTAGGTTGTATCAAAAACTTCTCCATTAATAGCTGATATTATTTTTCGTTTTAAACATATTGTGAACTAATTTTTTGAGGCTTTAAATCTGATGACAGAATTTGAAAATTCCAAAATATTTTATGTGAATTCATTTCTTTGACATGTGTATAAATAGTAGTTTTATGTACAGCATTTAATTTTTAATTATGTGAAATAACTATAATTAAGGAAAATATATTTTGGATATTTTTTATTGAACTGATAGATGACATCAACACTGGCATGTTACGCTACATTTTAACTGATGCAAGTAATGTAACAAGTGACAAATTTGTTTTTAATGTGGAAGATGCTAAACCAAACATCATCAGTGAGAATGTTTTCCATGTACGTTGGGCAAGGATTAGTTTTTCTAAACAGACCTATAATATTAGTGAGAGCTCCAGAATGGTACAACTAAAAGTGAAGAGATCAGGAAATCTGAAACAGGTAAGTCTTAATGTTGTGATCAGACATTTTATGTAGTTTTTTTTTCATAGTGTCAAAACAGTTTGTATGGGCAGAATGATATTGCAAACATAGAAATGCTTATCATGTTCACTGTTGAGGATGCACATGTGCATGTTTTGCTATTTTCTTTTTTTTTTTTTTGTCATTTGTTGCTTATTTTCGTT